TGTTTTGTTCTGAGCCAACACAGTAGTACTGAACTAGAGTAGGACTGTGAACACACAAAAGATTAGCAACTTTTAAGGAGGGCTTCCCAGGGAGAATCATTTCAATTGCAAGTGCACCAAATGTTTTGAAAATTATAATTTCATCTTCCAAAGATCAATAGACTTGTCCATTTTTTGGAAAATATGTTTTGCATGTGTGTATGCACACCTGTGTTGGCATATTATTTTTGTTGTTGTTTTCACTACCAAAATGAGGGCAAACCAAGTCTTCAGAGCCTCAAAGTTGCCGCCTCATCATTCTTACCAAAAACTAAGAGCCAATTTAGACGAAGATTTTACACCACTGCCTAAAGATGGAGTTGCTCCAGTGTCCTTGCCTTCAAGGTATCTGGACATCAAATAGAAACCATACAGTTGTCCTTTTCTTTAATCTACTCATTTTTTAATCTTTGTGGATTCCTACATTTACATTTCTCCTGCAGCAATATCCAGCATCGCAGTTGTCCCATTTGTCCACTGAGAGTGAATTGACAGAGTCAACTTCCTTGTGACCAGGCCAGCCACACTCTGTGGACCAGAAATCTCACAAGTCATCTATGAACTCTGGACCTCCAGAGTCTCCCAAGTGGAATAGAATGTGCAGACCACACTCTTCCTTAAGGTTCCTTTGAGCTTTTTCTCAAGTATTCTTCCAAGTTTATTTCTCAAGCTTCTTCCACAAATGATTGGCAGAGTAGCTGTCAACTTTTGGGTGCAGCTTTTAGGTCCTTAAAAAAGAAAGCCAGGAAGAGGAGGAGGAGGAAGAGGAGGAGGAAAAGCAGTATGATGATTGAGAGTAAGATGAGAAGCACAGGTATATATCAAGAAGAACTGGGAGAAGGGTGTGAGCACTCCAACTTTTGAACTGGAAGGAAGAGGTTCCTGAGAAAATAGAAAGCAAGTGACTTGGCAAGGATTTAAACTTTAGCTAATGAGGTGAGAAAAGGCAGGTAGCAAGTCTGAGTTTATAACATCCACTTCAGGGGAGTTGCTAGCCAGAAAAGAGAAGAACAATACATCAAAGGATGGGAGAAGGGAGGAGTGCACAATACAGCTCAACCCAATAGGTTGATGAGATTTCTACTGGAAACTTTTTCAAATAAAGACTTGCTATCTTTACTCAAAGGGAAGACTGGTCTGTGTCTTAGAAGAGAGATGGTAAAGATGGTTAAAGAAGTCTCTCCACTTGGAACAAGGAAGATTTCCTTTAAATAAATGTTCAGAAGCCTTTAGTGCGAAAACTGAGGATGAAGTTTTGAAAATAGATCCTGTGGTCCTGAATTGCTCCAAGACGTAAGAATGAAAGAAAGTGAAAAAGTTCTCATTGATAATAACTACCCTGTTAGCATGGGCCTGGGGTCACAGGTAATCTCAAGTACAACAGCAGAATTTTTGCCTGTTAAGTATGTCTGAATCAACCATAAAGGGTAAGGAGAACTGGAATGATTCTGGCCAGCTTACAACAATCAGTTTGGTCTAAAGTTTAAGCCTGTGGTTTGGAGGTTTTCTTTTTTCAGCAGTTGCCAAAGTTCTGATGTAATCAGACTTTCTTAAACTATCTTTTTAGAAGAACACCAACACCATTCCTTGTGAGATCCCTCTCATACCTCTTTTTTTTCATCTCATATCAATTCTGCCACTATTTTCTCTTTCACTTCTCTCTAAGACAAAGAGGTGGCCTTATTCTTTACCAAGGCCAACCTCTCCACCTGTCCCAATTCTGTCACTTATTTTCAATCTCTCCCTGACTACTGCCTCCTTCCCTGTGGACTACAAACATGCCCATGTCTCCCTTATCCTCAAAATACCCTCACTTGATCCTTCCATCTAGCTAACAATCATCCTATATCTCTTCTGCTCTTTGTAGCAAAACTCTTTGAGGAGACTATATACCTCCGTATTCTCTTCTCTCATGTCTTCTTCACCCCCTTACAATCTGGCTTCCAACCTCATCACTCATCTGAGATGGCTCTCTCCAAAGTTATCAATGATCTCTTCATTGCCCAATATGATGGTCTTTTCTCAATCCTCATTCTTCTTGATGCCTCTGCTGCCTTTGGAACTCCTGATTGCCCTTTCCTCCTTGATACTCTCTTCTTTCTAGGTTTTTGGGATGCCACTCTTTCCTGGTTCTTCTCCTACCTCTCTGACAGTTTCTTCTCCATCTCCTTTGCTGGATCTTCCTCCAGATTATACCCCTTAGGTGTCCCTTAGAGTTCTGTTCTGGGCCCTCTTCTCTCCTTCTATAGTACTTCACTTAGTAATCTCATCAACTACTATGAATTTAATTACCAGCTCTCTGTTGATGATTCTACAATCCACCTAACCTATTCTAACCTCTCTGCTATCCTCCAGTCTCCCATCTCCAGCTGCTTTTCAGACATCTTGAATTGTATGTCTTATAGACATCTTAAACTCAATATGTCCAAAATGGAACTGATTATCTTTGTCCCTGGACACTTCCCCACTCTTAACTTTCCTATTAATTGTAGAGGGCAACACCATCCTCTCCCTCAGCTTAAAACCCAGGTGTCATACTTGTGAGGAGTCCCTCACTCTCTCTCATCCCCCATATTCAATCAGCTGTCAAGGACTGGTGATTTTACCTTTGTAACATCTCTCAACTGAATCCCTTTCTGTCCTCCAACACTGTCTCCTACATGCACTTCATGCATGGACTATATGCAAAAGCCTTTTGGTGGGTCCTCCTGCCTCAAGTTTCTCCCCATTCCAATCCATCCTCCATTCAGCCACCAAAGTAATTTTCCTAAAGTTCAGCTCTGACCATATCACCTCCCCCTCAGTAAACTCCAGCGAGCTTCCTGAGGTCCTGTGGGGTCTGGATTTTCACGGAATAGAGGATATTTGTTGTGTTCCTGCAGCTTTTCCCCATTGTGACCATTTCTTTATACAATAAATCCCAGTTATGCTGTTTGGCATGAACAGGGTTGGCAGGACTGGGGGGATTCTTGTCCTTTCATACGACTATTAAAATTCCCTGAAGCTTCATTCCTATTCCTCCTTCAGCATCCCCCATCATTGTAGTTGTCTCTTCTGTCCTTTGAGGGTGAACAAGTAGAGCTGACCTCATCATGACCAGGTCCATCACATTCTCTTTGGATGCCCTAAATCTCATGAGTCATGTGGGCACTGGGCCCCAGCAGCCTCATAGGAAGAATATTGTGGAAAGTTTAAATTTCTCTTAAGGTTCCTCCCAGCTTTTGCTCAACCCTTCTATGCTCCTTGCTGGGTAATAGAGATGCCAATTGCCTGTGAGAATACAAAGGGGAGAATTTGTGAGTCTTTTAGCTTTTTAAAACTTGGGTGGGGTGGCATACATCATCTTATTTGATCCTAAGCACACCTCTTTTGGCATATAATGGACTTAAATTTTTTTTTTTAAGTTTTTGGTTTTTTACACCACAACAGTATCCTATATATCTGTTCCCTTCCCTAAGAACAAGCCCCCAAGAACAAGACAAAAGTAAGTTTTTTAGAGAAAAAAATGTAACCAATCAATACATTGAAAAAAGTTCAAAAACATGTATAATACCTGTGGACCTCCCACCTCTCACCTCCACAAAGGGGTAGGCCGGGATGTCTTCTCATATCTCTTCATTGGAGTCCTGCTTGATCTTTATAATTTTCTTGCATTTATTTTTGACTTTTTTACATCATTGTTCTGTCCATTCACATTTTTGGGGTTTTCTTGGCTCCACTTGCTTTACTCTGTATCAGTTCATATCGGTCTCTCCATGTTTCTCTTTATTCATCACACATGTCCTTTCTTACTGCACAACAGAATCCCACTATATCCATGTACCACAATTTGTTTGCTTCAGCCATTCTCCAGTAGCTGGGCATCTTCATTCACTTCCCTTCCCTTCACCTAGTTCTGTTCATTAGTTTTCTTAATTCCCTTTTTTGGATCTCCTTTTGAAAAATGATTTCTTTCTTTTACTCTCTTCATTATCCACCTTCTCTTTCTGTTTACTTTAGATCTGTATTCTCTGATTCATAACATCTATAATCATCTGGCTTCTATCTTTCCTCTGTAGTCTTCATAAAATCAAAACTACCAAGGTATTCATTCCAGGCTCTATTCTCTAGGCACTTTCTTCCACTGCTTTGTGTGACTTACCCTGTGGATTCCCCTTTCCTATTGTGCCTCACTTTCAGAACAATGTAAATTATTACAAATATCTGAAAGGACACTGCCTCATGGTAACCCCCCCCCACTGATCTATACCCTCTTTTGTTGAACTTTTTTTCTACAGTTGTCTGGGTCCATGCTCTCCTACTCTGCCAGGTGCTAGTGGCCCCCATGGGTTCCAACTCTTTCCCCTTAGGAATAGTAGACTTTTCATTTACCAAAACCCCTAGACCTTGCTCAGTATAAGGTCCTCATTTCCCTTCACCCATAGGAGCATTCATCAGTGCATCTCCCTCCCACCTCCCAAATAAGGCCTCCTTCCTTTCCCCACTTTTTTGGATCTTTCTCCCCTACTCCTTATCCAGTCTCTAGCAGGATCTTCTCTTTCTGAGACCACAGAGGTCACCTGTTCATTGCTAGCCCTTAATTTGACCCTAGCATATCATTCACTTCTCTCTGCCCTCCTGCTCCCCTCCTCTTTTTCATGTATCCTCCCATATTGTAATGTAGTCCCCCAAAGAAAGCATTCACCTCTAGGCAGGATGCTTCCAGGTTTTGTCTGTAATATCCCTGATCCACCTTTTTACTGGATGCCTCTCCCAGATTTCCACCTGAAGATTCTTACCTGTCTTTTGGTAGTCTGTTGCTGTCTGCAGTTATTCATCATTATTGCAGTTCCGTGTTTGGGGGTGTCTGAGATGCAAATTATTTCTTCAGTTCTGCTTTTCCTTCCAAAAATGTTTCAAACTCTCCTTTATTTTTGAACATACATCTTTTGTGTCCTGTATGGTTAAGCTCAGATTTGCAGGATAGTTCACCATGGGGTGCTCTTCAGAACACATTATTTCATTTCCCCCTCCTTTTTCTCATGGGTGTGGAATAGTCTGGCATTGTCTGAATGTTCTTTCCTTTGCATTTGGTTATCTTTCTCTTGATGGCTTGCCAAATTTATTTCAGAACTGAATCATTAAATTTAACCATTGTGTGTCTTGGAGTTTGCAGTATTTTTTTTTTCCTGGAGGTGATGTATGAATTTTTTCCATTGGAATTTCATTTTCCCATGTTCGGAAGTTCTGGGCAGTTGTCTCCTAGTATTTTCTTCATTCATTATAGTGTTAAGGTTTTTCTATCCAGTCATAGTTTTCTGGGAGACCTATAATGCTTAGAATGTCTCTACACATCCTGTCTTTGAGATTGATGTTTTGCTTACATGGTGAGTATATTTTCTTTTAATGTTCTTGTTTTATGCTTCATTTCTTCTAGATTGCTCTTTACTTCTGTGTGTTTGCATTCCCAATCTATTGCTTTCTCTTTTGTTTCTTTGGTGAGGCTTGCCATTGCAGATTCAAGTTTTTCTATCCTGCTCATTATCATTATTATTATTATTTGCTATTCAGGGCTTAAATGCTGCTCTTGTAGTTCTCTTTTGTCTTTTGAACCTCTCAGGAACAGTGTTGTGATTCCTTGTTCTCCTTGACTTCCATATGATTCCCTGTCTCATCAAGTATTAGATTGTTTCCCTTTATTTTTCAGTTTCCTCTATTTTGCATCTATTAAGAAATGCCTGAATTCATTGACTAGATCTGGAGGCAATATGTCCTTCTGTTGTAACTAGTTTTTTTTTTATGTTGATTTATCTGTTTATGTTTAATGTCTTTGAGATTTCTTCTTCCTGGAATCTTTGTTACTTTGTCTTTCCCCCTCTATCTTATTTTCCTTATTGATCATTTCTGACTCCCTCCCCTCTGATTGTGGTTTCCTTGGGAATGGATCTCAAAGTGTTTGATGACCTGTCCCACTCCCTTTGTTCTTTAGTTCTCTGCCCTGGAGCTGGCGTTTCAGAGCCTGCTGGCACTGGCTGTTCAGGGCTTTGCAGCATTAGTGTTTCCTGGTTGCAGTGCCTAGCAGGCTTTTGTTCTTGAAGGGCTGTGGCCAATCTGGCTGTAATGGCTTGAGAAAACTCTACAATCTCTAACTTGGGATCACTATTACACTAGAAGGAGTGAGGGGGGGACTGGGGTGTAGGGATGTAAGCCTGAGGCTTGTCCTTGGGTCTGCTGATGTGGCCTTACTGCTGGTAGCATGGGAGGTAAGGGAAGGGTGTTGAGTGAGCTCAAAATCAGTATCAGTTCCTGTCTGTGTATGTTTTTTTAACCTTGTTTTAGATTCTTTGTGTTTTAGAGCATGGAAACAGCAAAATTGCTTTATCTTTGGTACATAATTTATGTTTTGAGGAGATTCAAGAAGTCATGGAGATCAGAGAAAATATCTAGCCTGCCATCTTGTTGCTAAATAACCTGTAAATCATATGATGGAGTTTTCTCTCAAAAGATGCATTTTTTTTGTAAAAAAAAAAAGCACAGTGACTGGCACATAGTGGGTATTATAGAAATTCTTATTCCCTTCCCCTTTCCTTCTCTGTTTAGTGCTAAACATTGCATTTGCAAGGCAGAGTCCACACATTTTCTCTGCCCCCCCCACCTTCCCTGAACTGTTCAAAGAGAAAGGGAAAGAACTCAAAAGAATCTTCAGCATTCTTGGGTGAAGAATTTGCCTCCCAGCAGACAGATTCATTTTTACTGATCATTGACTCTTCATTTTCATTTCCTCCCTAAGCAGCTACCATTGTTATTTTGAGGGTGAATTGGCTCTCCAACTTCATGGTAAACAAATCAGCTAAGTACTTGACTAAGGAATGAAGGCAAAGCAAATATTTGGGGTGTCTTAACTGAATCCAAAAGACCCTTAGAGTTGCCTCTTCATGATTTCCACTGAAAAATTGCATATCAAGTGTTCTATTAGAACAAAAAACATATTGTTGACTTGTTATGCAGAGTTTCCCCAAAGTGCTTCCTTTCAATGTGTTAAGAATATTTGTTCTGGGGGCAGCTAGGTGGCACACTGGATAAAACACTGGCCCTGAAGTCAGGAGGACCTGAGTTCAAATCCGGCCTCAGACCAAACACTTGACACTTACTAGTTGTGTGACCCTGGGCAAGTCACTTAACCCAATTGCCTGGAAAAAAAAAGAATCTTTGTTCTGATCTTCAAGCTTTTTCTCAACATGGCCATTTTCTGGACAACGAATCCAAACTATGCCCTTTCATATGAAAGGGGATGCCATTGCAGGCATGAGTTCCGACCTCAGAGAAGCATTTTAATATGCATTCATTCACTCATTGATTTCCATCCTTTGCTCCATAACCATCATTGCATTTGCCCCTTTAAAGTGTTTTGAGGGTTAATCTACCACAGTGGCAATCTCATTGTGACCAAGATGGCTCAATTCTATCCTATTTTAAGTCTTACAAGCTTTCATTGATCTTCTTTTGGACTCTGCCCCCTCATGCATAAAATTCAGCCTGAATTTTTTTTTTAAGTCTTCTCCATCTAACCCTAGCCTCCCATATCCCCATCTGCTTGCTCTGTCACAGGTGTAGGTATCACCAACACATAAAAACAGTACTTAAGGAAGATTTATATAGACCTTTGGGCTGGGCTATTCTTAGGCAACTCCTTTCACTTTACAAATGAGCAGACTAATAGTCAGAGATGTGCTTCGATTTGTTCAAGTTGGTGAACGCAGAACTCAGATACCACAAAGATTCTCTAATTATTTCAGTACTTCTTTCCCGTGAGTGAAAAAAGATTAAACTTAACTATGAGTTACATAAGCTGATTCTCAACCTTTAATCTTGAAAGTTACACTGTTAGATAAGGATGGAATGAACTCGACTTTTCTAGACCCCCTCTCTCCCAAGTCATTCTGACAATGATGGCTTTTGGAATGGTACAAAGGATGTCAGAAAAAGCATGCTAGACAATAAATAAAAGGCCTAGAAAATCCAGCAAATGGATTTTGAAAGCTCTTTTAGATGCACTGATATCTACCAACATTCATTACTTAGGGTCTATTCTGCTACTTAAATGGTATTCTACTGCATAAGGAAATGAGAGATGAGAAAGTAAACAGTGGATAGAGTGCCAGGCCTGGAGTCAGGAAGATCTGAGTTCAAATCTGGCCTCAGACATTTACTAGCTGACCCTGGGGCATGTTACTTAACCTTATTTGTCTCAGTTTTCTTATCTGTCAAATGAGCTGGAGAAGGAAATGACAAACCACTCTAGTATCTCTGCCAAGAAAACCCCAAATAGGGTCACAAATCTGAAAGAAAATGCTTTAGAGATTCTGATGAAGAAGAATAACAAAGAACAGTGACTCAGGGCCTAGATAGACAAGAGTCTCTCTTTCTCTCTCTCTCTCTCTCTCCCTCTCTCTCTCTCTCTCTCTCTCTCTCTCTCTCTCTCTCTGGCAATTGAGGTTAAGTGACTTGCCCAGGGACACACAGGTAGATTGGTCAACCTTGACTTTAGCTACTCTTGTAGCTAAGGAGTAGAGAACAATGGACAGAAACAGAAAGCATTTTGAGAATTTTATCATGGGTTGACTCAGTCTAGCTGCCAAATGAGCTGCAATGTAGGAAGAAGAATGCAATTAGAAACTTGTGGAATTTCACAGGTGACAAAATCCAAGAAAGACCTGAGGAAGAGTCAGTAACAATCTATGGGCTCAGATGTCTGAGAGCTTTCAAGGGGGTGGGGGAGGGTCCTGTGGCCTTGAGGCCACGTATGGCCTTGTAGTTTCTTGGGAGTGGCCTTTTGACTGAGTCTAAGTTTTACAGAACAAATCTTTTTATGAAGGGGCTTTGTTCTGTGAAGTTTGGATCCAGTCAAAGGGCCACACTTGAGGACACAGATAGCCACCACACGTGGCCTCGAGCCTGCAGGTTCCCCACCCCTGCCTTAAGTTATCATGATCTGCAGGAAAGATCATGAAGGTCACAAGAAAGGCTGTCCCTAGTGCTTGTAACCTTGTGAAATCAAGCTTTCCTGCCTTCTGTACCTCCAAGCATCAGGGCAGCTAGGAGACACTGAAACTGACCAGGAAAGGATGGGACCTTGCTGAGATTTCCCCCCATTGTTTGTTGAGCCAATCAGTAATTTTCTGTGTGTCAATGGGAAGGTTCTTCCCAGGTGCTAGACAGCAGAATGCTTGAAACAGACTGCCAAAGAAAAACTACACCTGAAAAACCAGAGGGTTTGTGTGTGTATCCGTGTATTTTCCAGACCCTAATGAGTCAACCTTACATTGCAGACAATCTAACTCAATATGCCTTGTACTGTTTACTGTAAATATTGCTTGTTTTAGCTATACTATGAACTTCTTTGGACTTAATTTCAAATTGGTTCCAAAAGAGCCAATGTCTATTTTAAAATCACAAATGTAATGGTTGGGAAGTCTGTCTGGACATATGAGATGTGGTGAGAAAATGAAAATTATTCTTGGAGAGAGGAGGGCTCACTCTCCCATGACAACTGGAATTATTTTTCATGAATTCTTGATGATGAAATGGGTTTTTTACTAAATAAGATTATAAAATATTTACCATTTTATCTATGATGAATTTAGAGGACTATGCCTTCTTTAAAGTGTTTTGCTTTTCCATTCAAGGGAGTTCTGAGGCTGCCTGTTTAAGCCCTTAATCAAAAGACACAATATTGCAAAGAGTCTCTAGCTGGAATTTCCTTTCTTTTCAAACAAGCAAAGGTGAGTAGTTATGAAATTTCTTTTGATAATTGCTTATTTGACATGAGAGGTGCTCCTGGTGCAGTGCATAAAGTAGGCCAAGATGATATGGCTTCAAGTCCCATGTCAGACCCTTAGGACACATATGACCTATTAGGGCCCTTTCCCCTCATAGTGCTTCAGGACTCTAGGCTCAAAAGCTTGAAGCTGCAGAGAGAGAATCACTAAACTGTATTGGTGAAGGGAGGTCCCTCATCTGGGAGTTTCCTCAATCAATGAAATCTCAGGTATGGTCTTCCTTTATTCTTTTCCTTGGTTTTATACACTCACATTTATACATGTAAGCTGTCTTTGAATCACTTTCATTTTCATTAAATATAAATTTATTTTATTATATTTCTAACGCAGAGAATTGTTCCAAATAAAATATTCAAAATTACTCCCATGGATAGACAAATAAAGTTGAATTAAAATGAGCCACGAAGTTGGAATACTCCGCTTGTAGAATCCCTGCATAGGCATATCCGTTGGCCACCCCACTCTGCTGCTCAGCAGAACCCTTTCCAAAGTGAGCATAGGAGCTGTGGCCGCCTAAAGCAGATTCCTTTGTCCACATCACTAGCAGCAGGTGTACAAGCATTGCAGCCCACATTCTCACCCTTCCCTTGCACCTGCCATTTGCTGCCCAAGGCTCTAGATCAGCTACAATGCTAGTTCAGTAGACTTTGGTGCCCAAACCTGGGAGGAGGCTACTATGGATAGTTCCTTGATCCCAAGGCAGGATCTTGATTCATCCTTGCCATCTCTTGAGCCAAGAGCAGAGTCTAGACACTTAACAAGCATTTGTGGAATTAATGTGAATTTAGGGGGAAATACATTCTGGTTTATGAACAGTGGATTTCCTAAAGTTATCAAACCCAACCAACCCTTCAGCCCTCATTCTTACCCTTTGCTGGGAATTTTCCACTTGGCTGCTCTGAATGTATGACTTGATTCTGAGCATTGCTTTCAATACTTTGGGACTTCACTTGGAATTTCTGTGCTTGTAGGTAAAAATGCCCTCTTAGGGATCTTTATTTTTCATTCCTACCACCTGTTGGACAAGGAGGTGAATAATCTGAGTGTTTTTGTTGTGATATTCTTGAAGGATATGCAACACATAAATTTGGAAAGTGAGCTTGGAGCTGACCTTATGATTTTTTTTTTTAAAATAAATTAGCTTTGTAGGGAGGACTTGGAAATATTTGGTACTGAGTAGGCCATTTTAGTAAGTATGTACAGCTGCTATGTAAAAAAAAAATGAGGTCATGAAGATGTTTCTACAAAGTCACCTTCCCAAGACACCTCTTACAATATTTCTCCAGACCAACAGACATTGAAACTGAACAGACTCTACAGCCAAGATCCTCTATGGGTTTCCCAATCCTCCCATTTGTAGAGAGTTGGCTACCCTGGGCACCATCTACTGCTGGAGGGCCTTTTCTTCTGAAGGGGCTTCATGGAACCTAATACATATGTACATATACTTTGTTGCCAGACCTTTGTTTGCCAGCAGTTTGCCAGACCTTTGAGTTGAGTTGCTTATCCCTTTGGGGACTGAGCCTAAGAAAATAATTGAGGTTTGACTAAGCTAGAAACCAATAAATATTTTTTTACAGCAAGTATTTCTGATAAAGGCCTCATTTCTCAAATATATAGAGCACTGAGTCAAATTTATAAGAATATGCCATTCTCCAATTGATAAGTGGTCAGAGTGTGAATAGGAAGATTTCAGATAAAGAAATTAAAGCTATCTATAGTCATATAAAAAAATGCTCTAAATCACTATTTATTAGAGAAACACAAATTAAAACAACTATGAGGTACTACTTCTCACTTCTCAGATTGGCTAATATGACAAAAAAGGGACATGATAAATATTGGAGGGGGTGTGGAAAAAACTGGGACACTAATCCACTGTTGGTAGAGTTGTGAACTAATCCAACCATTCTGGAGGGCAATCTGGGACTACGGCCAAAAGGTTATAAAACTATGCATACCTTTTGATCCAGCAATACCACTGTTAGCTCTATATTCCAAAGACATCAAAGAGATAGAGAGAGAGAGAGAGAGAAAGAGAGAGAGAGAGAGAGAGAGAGAAAGAGAGAGAGAGAGAGAGAGAGAGAGAGAGAGAGAGAGAGAGAGAGAGAGAGAGAGAGAGAGAGAGAGAGAGAGGGAGGGAGGGAGAAGGATCTATTTATAACAAAAAATATTTATAGCAGCTCTTTTTGTAGTGGCTCAGAATTGGAAATTGAGGGGATACCCATCAATTGGGGAATGATTGAGCAAGTTGTATCAGATGATTGTAATGGAATATTATTGTGCTATAAGAAATGACAAGCAGGACGATTTCAGAAAAAACTGGGAAAACTTACATGAACTGATGCAAAGTAAAGTGAGCAGAATCAGGAGAATGTTGTACATAGTAACAGCAATATTGTGGGATGATCAGCTGTGAATGACTCAACTATTCTCAGCAATGCAATGATCTAAAACAATCCCAAAGAACTAATGAAACATACTATCTACCTCCAGAGAAACAACTGAAATTGTTTGAATACACACTGAAGCATGCTCTTTTTCACTTTCTTTCATTCTTTTTCTTTTATTTGAATCTTCCTGTACAAAATGACTAATGTGGAGATGTTTTACGTGATTGAATATGTATAATTTGTATCAAATTGCTTACCATCTTTGGGAGGGGGAGGGGAAGGATTGAATTTTGGAACTCAAAACAAACAAAAGAAAACAAATGCTAAAAAATTGTTTTAACATGTAATTGGGGAAAAAATAAAATAATTCTTATATTGTCTGTCCTCTATCTTTTCTCCAGATAAATTGCTTTTCTAATGAGATGTTTCACATTCTTTTCTATTTTTTCATTCTTTTGATTTTGTTTTATTATCTCTTGGCGTCTTATAATGTTATTCAATCTTCCCCTACTCCTATGTCTGTCCCCAACACAGTCTGAGAGGTGATGAAGACTGAGGCTGACTCTTAACCCAGCTGTCCCCAGGGATTGTTTATTGTTTCAGCAGAGAGAGCCTAAAGGTATTTGCACTTCACTGGGGCCAAACCACCAACCCTAGGGTATTCTCCAGTAGTCCCGGGAGGACTACTGCTCTACCCCAACTTTTGTTAATTTTTGCTGCTCTATGTTTACCCCAAGGCTTTGTTCTGAGGAAATCTGGAGAGCTTGGAATTTCCTGGCCTACTCTGCCATCTTCCCAGAATGCCTGTCTAGTATCAGACTTTTTAACTGAGAGAGTCAATGCAAGGGTTTTCCCACCTGGTTGTTTCTTGTCCTATTGACAGCGGGATCGAGTCTATTCATATAAAAGTTTGTTAATGTAATATAGTTAAAATTATCTATTTTTTTTCATTTCTATTGACCTCTCCCTATTGTTATTGAACCTCCCTCCACTCCCAGCTCTCCCCTAACCATATTAGTGAGGTTTTTAAAGAGTTTATTGTGTTACGTTGTGCAATGACTAATATTGATAAACTTAACCCTTCTTACCAATACAAGGATCTAAGACATCTCCAGAGGCCTTGTGATAGAAAATGCTATACACATCTAAAGAAGGAACTATGGAAGTTGAATTGCTATCTTTTTTTTTCTCTTCTGTTGAGTTTTGTTTCCTCTTTCTGATGGTTCCTCCTATTCATTTTAATTTTTACTTATAACATCACTAATGTGAAAAATGTTTAATAGGAATGTAAATGCATAGCCTATATCAGATTATGCCCCATCTTGGGGAGGGTATATAATAATAATAAATTTAAAAAATTAAAAAGAGAGTTTATTGTGTTAAGCTGTGTTTGGTGCCATTCTAATCCTAATTATTGCCCAAACAATTTCTAGTTTTTATAGAATGGGGACTTCTTTCTTCCATGCTTTCCTGTTCTTATGTTCACTTGTTTCTAAGGTATTGGTTGTCCAGCTTGTTTCATTGATTTTCTTCCCCCTCCCCCAACATTTTAAAACCATTACCAAATAGCATTGGTGGTAACTGCTTTATGATATAATTTGAGATGCAATAATGTTGGGCTCCTTTAATTCCTTTTTTTTCTCCATCCTTTCCCCTAAGTTTTTGACCTTTAATTGCTCATCAAACTTTAACAGCTAAATTTGGTGGCCTTTTCTCAGTCTTCATAGCTATTTGCCTCACTACTGTTGCGGGTGAGAGGCTGAGAGGTTGTGACCCTTCAAAGACTGAATTACAGGATGGGTCATCTGGAATGAATTCACTGACTCAACCTTTCTTTAAGTCAAGGTGACAAAGTTTATTGTTACGCTTTTCAGTGGGGAAGGATTCTTAAAGGATCCTGCAACCTTAGAGAGGTACACTTAAAGTTTATATAGGATAAAATACAATAAGACATGTGCCAAATATGCTAACTAGGGGATTCAGGGTGGGATTAGGGAGTGGTTAAGGAGTGGTCAGTTCTTAAAGAAACATGCACTTGTTGTATCTACTGCGCAGGTGATTTACCCAGAGTTCACTGTGAAAAGCCCACAAGGGGGGCCACAAGGAGGTGTGGTTTTAGGCCTGCTATGTCACTAAGTCAACCAGAGTTCAGGGTAACTGAGAGTTGTCCAGTCTGCTACCAGTCAATGTCTTGTTAGACAAGATAGATGTAGGGAGTATACATATGTCTTAAGTCTAGAATACAGTTAATGAGGAGCCCAGGATGAAGATAATAAGGTAGGGCAGTAAGATAGCATAGTAGTGGGTAAGAATGTCTTTATGACCCAGGGCAAAGCCAGTTTAAACTAATAAATCCTTCAGGTGCTGTTTGGAACTGCACTAGGGAGAGAGATAAGGGTCTTGCTGGGGCCCAGTTGTGAGTAATTGCTATGCACAGGGTCCTTGGGCTGGGGAGAAACTGTCAGGGACAGTGTTTCTGAGGCTAGGGAGAAATTGGGGTTCAAGTACAAGCACCCAAACACAAGCATCCAAGCATAAGCACCCAAGCACCACATCACTACCACTTTTGATAGATTGGAGCTCCTCCAATCTATATCAATGTATAGATTCTCTCCTCTGCTGCTTTTCTAATTTTGCTCTCTCCTGGTACTCCTCTTCTCATTTTTTATATTGGATCATAGTACATTTCCCACTCAGTAAACCTGGGTGTCCTATAGTGCTCTGCCCCATGTAATCTTCTTTCTCTACACTCTTTCTGGGGGACACTCATCAGCTCCATTTGGTTGAATGATTAGCTCTCTGAATGACTCCCAGATCTATGTCCAGGTGGAATCTATCTCCCAAATTGCAGATCCAATCAGCCAATCAGTCACCTTGCATTCATGAAGAATTTCATGCTCAGCATGTCCAAGTTGGAAGGTATTTTGTCTTCTCAAATCTCTCACTCATTTCCAACTTTTCATTCTCCCATAATTCCTATATCATATCAGTTAGCAAATCTTGTTGCTTCTACTTTGGTGACATCTCTACCACTTACTCCTTTCCTTCTAGTTATGTGAGCACTACTACCTTACTTGGGAGTCCTTATCCCCTCTTACCTAGACTATTAAAATAGCCTCATTTCTAAAATGCTCCTCCTCTGGCCCAGAGCCCATATGTAATTAGAAATAATAGTTTTAAGTAATAACAAAGGAGAAAAAGAAAATAGTAAAACTAGCCCAATACAATGGAAAAGTCTGAGTATGTATTCAATGCTCTATTCCTTTCTCTATCCCCACTCCTCATGAAGCTCCTACCTATGCTAAGGGGTGAGAAGGCAATCTCTTCTCACAGGTCCTCTTTCAGTTATGCTTGATCTTGACATTTTGCAAAATGATTGGCTTTGAGTTACAGAGATTAGAGAGTAGCTTCTGAGGATGTGTCATTAGGGTTTCCTTTCTTACTTGTAAATGTGGGCAATTATGCTATTGGTACCAATGCATTTTTTGTAGTATTTGCCCTCAACAAAGTTTGCAGCCTGGGTGATTTTAAGCTGAGTCTTCTTTCTTGCTTTGACTGCAGCCCTGGATTCTTGGGAAGCTGGACTAGTATGCTTTGTTGTCCTTGCTCCAGTTCTGCCTTGGGAATGGTGTTGAGGAAATGTCTGTTATCTCTGTCAGAAATCTTTCATGCCCAATAAGAGAATCATCAATTGTCAGAACAGAAGTGGAAAGTGGTCTCAGCTTAGTGAAGTAGAAAACAAACATTTGGCTTTGATTCCCTTTAGGACATATTTAAATGATCTCATTCTATCACTTGTAAAGGAAGAAGAAGTTCTTCAAATCCCTACAAGGGCAGTAAAAGGTGTCAAGCTTGAAATCTTTAAGTGCTTCAGGTAGAGAGGTTCCCCCTATACACTCCAAGTGGGATGGCAGAATTGTGTTAGGGGGAAATGTGGCAATATCCTTGTCAACTTACTGAACTTACCATCTACCACCCTATGTCTTTAGCATCCCTTTATTGGGAAATATGCCAAACGGACGGTATTATATGAAAGGGGGGAAATGACATATTTTCAAATATATTTATAGTAGTAACATTTTGTCATTCCAAAAACAATCAAGATATCTGAAATGCTTAATGAGGGGGACTCTCTGAACAGCTTCTAGACAATTAACAAAAAGGAATAATACTGCAAATCAAAATCAGTCAGTATAAGCAACAGAGAGAAATCTAGAAACATCTCCATGAATTAATGCAAACAGAGAAAGTCGAACCTGAATAAAAGAGTCCATAGAAATTAAAACCACAGCAAGAAAACACATATCCTTGAATGTAAAGGGACATGATGTCCCTCTGGAGCTGAAGGGACAACACAGTAAAGGGAACACAGAAGCAAGTAACTGATGTTTTGTTGTTGATAAGTTGTCCTTAATGGAAGGGGCAGCTAAGTTGCACAGTGGACAGAGTGCTGGGCCTGGAGTCAGGAAGACATCTTACTGAGTTCAAATCTGGTCTCAGATACTTACTAGCTGTGTGACCCTGAGTGAGTTACTTACCTCTGTTTGCCTCAGTTCTTTATCTGTAAAATGAGCTGGAGAAGGAAATGGCAAACCACTCCAGTGTTTTTGCCAAGAAAACCCCCAATAGGGTCACAAAGAGTTGGGTATGACTGAACAACAACAATAACTCAATGTAATACAATAGACTCAACTAATTGATGGAAGAAATGGGATTAGAACCCAAGACTCTTGACTCCAAGGTCAGCACACACACATTTAACACACTTGCTGGTTTTTCTTTTCCATAGGAATCAGAAGAAAATAAGAATTGAAGCTTTGAAGAGCTATGCTGAAGAAGCCCAGGAAGTTTCCAGATTCTTCCAGATGGCATTTGCCATAGCGAGATGGTCCAGTTCATGGACTTTTTCCCCATTTCTGTTTTTTGAGAATTAAGAGAGAGCTTGCTTGTGTGTACTCTCTTGGAAGGTGACAGTAAGAGAGGGTAGGATGTGGAAGAGGAATAAGTGCAATGGCTCCAACCTGAGGGTTGCTGGCAGTTTGGATGGGAATCCAAAAAATGCATATACATAAGTGTTTCTACCGAAAGAAAATGCCACTCCCCTTATTCCTGGGAATTCTGAATTGGGGAAGAATGGAAAAAAAGACATTGCAATGTTATTCTTTTCAAGTGCCATTAGTAACAGATGTTTGCTACGGATTCAAGAGTTTGTTGCCAATCAAGATACTGGGTGACTCCCTCCCATCTATCAAAAAAGCATATGTAAAGGAAAGGGAAGGAGAGAAGCATTATTATATAACACCTACTGTGTGCCACATACTGTGCTAACCACTTTACAATGATCTCATCTGATCTTCACAAGCCTGCAAGGTTGGTGCCATTTTTACAGTTGAGGAAACTGAGGCAAATAGAGGTACAGTGACCTTGCCCAGAGTCACATGAGGTAGTATCTGAGATCAGATTTGAACTCAGGTCTTCCTGACTCCAGGTCCAGATCTTTATCCACTGCACCCTCTGGCTGTCCCTATTCTGGCATGATAACATAATTACATGGGAGATAGATGTTCCCAATGCTTTCAAACCATTCTGTCTTACTTATGAACATTTGTTAGCCCCACTCCTTTCCTTATCAGGGCTGTTTTCCTAGATGATGAAACTGACAACACAGACTTGATACATTCAGAGGAGAAGTCACCCCTAGAAATCATCTGTTCCAACTTCCTAGTGCCATAGACACAGATGCTCAGGGTGACTCAGCTTCTCATACATCAGAAGTCACATGACTTGTTTATTTAGCAGCCTGTGTTAATTTTTAAGTCCGAAAAGAAAGAAAATAAATGACAATCTTTCAGAATGATAGATCCTTCGGTGGTTGTCTTTAGTTGAAGAGGACCAAAATGGTGTCACTACGTTGGGGTGAAGGGACAGTGTGTCCAGCTGTGGCTGATCAGACCTATAGGAGCTTGAAGGTTCTACCATAGGCTGGGCACAAATAGCCCATATGAACCTTTGGAGTGGAGGTGGCTCTAAATTTGCACATCTCACATTTCTTTTGAGGTAGTACTGCAATTCCGCTTTGCTCATGTAGTACAGTGCCTTTTTTGGTGTGGGCATGCCGTGCTGGGTAATCCTGTGCCCATGTCTCTCAATGAATTCCAGAGTTCTTCAGAGAGACTTTGAGAGTGTTCTTGTATCACTTCTTCTGACCTCCATGTGACACTTGCCTTTTGAGTTCTCCATAAAATAGTCTTTTAGGCAAACATATGTTTGGCATTCGAATAACATGGCCAGCCCTTGGAGTTGCACTCTCTGCAGTAGACTTTGAATACTTTGCAGCTCAGCTCAAGCCAGGTGATCTTCAGAATCTTCCTAAGACAATTAAAATGAAGCGATTCAGTTTCCTGGCATGGCACTGGAATACTGTCTAGGTTTCACAGGCATACAACAACAAGGTCAGTACAATGATTCTGTAGACCTTCAGTCTGGTAAGCAGCCTAATACCTCTTCTCACTTGCACTTTCTTTTGGAGCTTCCCAAACACTGAGCTAGCTCTGGCAATGTGTGCATCAACCTCATCATCTATGTGTACACCACTGGAACTTATACTTCTGTCAGCTGGACCAGAACTGGCCTCTAACCTGTGGGTGACTGGAGCCAAACAGAGCAGGGTAGAGACAGAATAGTCAAGACAGAAATGGAATTTTAATTTCAGAGTGAGGAAAATGGTGTTGGCAAATGGAAGCCCTTCCTCCCCTCCCCCCAAGAAAGAGGGCATCAGGCTAGTAAGGCTGGGACCACTTATATACATGAAAGGAGTTGGCCCAAAACACAATCGTTGTTAGATCTTGAGCTAGTTCTCATGGTTAGCATTTCTTGGGACAACATAGGTATTCTTGGGTCCTGTAGGAATAGTCTTGGAAGTCATGACCACCCTTCCAGGTACAGATCCAGAGTTCTGTGGCAAGAACAGAAGTACAGTGCCTGTCAGTGATTGTGCACATGTGATAGATGGCCCTGGGAAATAGGAGGAGCTAAATCCTCCAGTGAACATCTGGTGCTGGTCCAAGCAATACACTTTACCGGAGGGTGATATCATCCTGAGTGCAGAGGATTATTGTTATACCAAGCTCAGGACACAGCCTGTTTGCTGGGCCTTAGCTGGGGGAAACAGGGTATCTCCAAAATATTTTGACACTGCCAAGGTAAGTGAAATTATCCATAGTGTTCAAAATTCCTCCATTTGCTGTATGTATGGTGTGGTTCTGGCTGGTGAAAAACCAGTGTTTTCTTGGTGTTAATTGTTAGGCCAAAATTAGCGCAAACAGCAGAGAATTGATCCATACTCTGTTGTGTCTCAGCATCAGAGGTTCCATTCAGTCCACAATCATCTATGAACAAAAAGTCACTCATCAACTCTCCCTCCACTTTAGGCTTGGCTTGCAGCCTTTTCAAGTTAAATAATTTACCACCAGTATGGTAGTTGACCTTAATGCTGTTTTTATTCTTGTTGAAGGTATCTGACAACACTGCTGAAAACATCATGCTAAAAAGCATGGGAGCAAGTACACAGACTTATTTCACTTCATTGGTGACTGGGAAAGCTTGAGAGCTTTGTCCATTATCCAGAAGCCGGGCAAGCATGCCATCATAGAACTGGTATACAACAGTGATGAACTTCTCTGGACAACCAAATTTTGCTATGATTTTCCACAAGCCCTCATGACTAATAGCATCCAAAGCCTTGTTCAGATTGATGTACATTATGATAGACCTCTGTTCTGCTCCTGATATTTCTCCCGCATGTGTCAAGCAGCAAACACAATATCAACTGTTCCTTGGCCCTTTCTGATGTCATGCAGGCTCTCAGGTAGATGAACATCTTCCAGGTAAAGGATCAGCCTATTAATGAGGACTCTGTCAAGAATAATGCCAGAAATGATTAAAAGAGAGACCCCTTCCTCTGTGATTATCACAGGACAACCTATTTCATTTTCCTTTAAGGAAATGGACAATGGAGGGTTGAACTCATCCTTGAACTCCTGGGGGGCAACCTCTTTCCACTGAATCTGGAAAATTTCAATCAGCTTTTGTATGAACAGTAGACTTCCACCTTGTAAATCTCAGCTGGAATAGAATCAGCACTAGGTGCTTTGCCACATGAAAGGAGCCTAGTGGCATTCAAAACCTCTTCTTCAGTTGGAATTTCAGCTAGGGAGGGATTGACTTCAACCTGAGGCAGATGGTCAGTGGCTTCAGCATTGATTGATGATGGTCTGTTGACAACACTATGGAAGTGTTCAGCCCATCTCTCCAGGATCATGTCCTTATCTCTGTGGTTCTAGCACTGTGTGGCTGAGATGTACTATAGGTCTTTGGTCCATAAATAGCCTTCAGGCTTCAGGACAGCATAGAAGTGCTTTGGATTGTAACTATCAGTATAAACCTGAATTTAATCTGCCGTCTTACTGAGCCAAGAATCCCGCATCTCTCTAAGCTTCACTTGGAAGTTACTGTTGATGGAATTAAACACTGCTTTCTTAGAGACAAGAAATATCCTGTTAGTAAACTCTGTAGCATTCTTGTTTTTCATTTAGCAGCTTCTGAATTTTCTAGTCGTTTTCATCAAACCAGTCTTGATGTTTTTGAGTGTTCTGGCCCAGATAAGAACTGTGGTTCTTGTACACAAAATCTTTGAAAGCTGCCCACTCCTTTTCTGCTCTTCTGTTGCCAAACATGAATTGGCTCAGCTTTCCCACCAAGTTAACAATTTTTCACCCTTGGAAAGGAGCTCTAATCTCTTGACATTAAATCTTCTGGTAGTCATCTTGCCTTGGGGCCACTGCTTTTGTTGTGTGTCAATGTTTAGCTTGGCCAGGATAAGTCCATGATCAGTCCAGCACTCTGCAACACACATTACCGCCCTCACTCTCACATCCTGTCTGTCTATTCTTACAATGACATAGTGTTTGCTGCAATGGTGCGTCCACAACGTTTTATCGTGGTAGGTAAATGGAAGACAGTGCTGGTGATGAGAAGGTCATGAGAGGCACAAGTGTTCAGTAGAAAGTGACCACTGCCGTTGCTGTTTCCAAATCCGTTCCTCCCTAGGATTCCCTGCCATGTCTGGTAGTCTGAGCTCACTCTAGCATTAGAGTCACCCAGAATTATATGCTTGTCCTCTTTTGGCACTTTGATGATGAGGGTCTCTAGGTCTTCATACAAATTTTCTTTGACCTCATCAGGGTTCATTGTGATGGGAGCATATGCATTGACGATGCACTTTCCTACAAGGGGCAATTGCATTGTCATAAGCCTGTCATTCCCTCCTTTTGGAAGCTTGTTGGCTACATTAATTTCTATTGCAAAACCTATCCCGACTTCATAGCGCTCCCCATCGCCGCGGCCACTGCAGAAAAATGAACACCCAGTTCCGAATTTGGCAAACTGGCCTTTATTTGCCAGCCTTGTTTCACTGCTATTCACTGCTGCTGTGTGGACGCCATACCTGCCAAGTTCTTTCACAATAAGAGCCGTTCAGCTTTCAGGTCTGCTAGATTTCATGTTGTCCGTAAGTGTGCCCACATTCCATGTACAAATGGCACATGACAAATTGAATCATCTTTGCAAAAGTTTTTGTACATTTGTGTGTGTGTGTTTTGACTGCAGAGTGGGATCCCTGCCCGCTATAGTAAGCAGACTAAGATTGGGTGAAGCAGACAATTTGTAGGGCACCTCTTCTAGCCCCTTCTTCATGCCAGGAAGTGAGCAGGGTGGTCCTCACAGAAAGGCTGCTCAGATACCCAGGGGCTGCTGAATCCCACAGCTGCTTCCAGAGAGAAGACAACCCTATAGCCAGGGCCACTTGTGTGTAGGATTGTGACTACAGATCCCAGTGTATCTGCATCATTGCCACAGGACCTGGAGGTATGTAAAAATGGCAAAATGGTATGGGTGATGTCTTTTGACTTGGATTTAAGGCAGAGTTGTATATTTAGGGTTCAACTTTAACCCTAACCCTAAAGTTCATGTGCCTCATTCTTTCTTCCAGAGTCAAAGAAGTCCAGTGGCAAGACAAAAGTCATGATCACTGGCAATGGCCCAGGGTATAGTGGATGATCTTGGCATCTTCAATGTCTAACACAGCTGTAAGCATTCCATAGTGCCTGTTTCAGTCACCTTCATGGTTGTTGGAACAAATTGCTCTCAATCCACCCATTCTGCCAGGGGAAGTCTTCAAATGCTTGGGGTAGACACCCCTCTAACTCACTTGATAGATCTGAGAATTGTTGGTTACTTTCAGCCTGTTTAGCTTGTCTGCT